TTGTAGTGAGGTGAGAATATCAAAAGAGGGTTATTTCTTTTGAGTGTTGTAGTGGTCTTTGGAGTATTTATCTCCGACCTACAAAGTGTAAAATTCCTTACTATAGTGATATCAGTTGCTCCTCTCGGGGCCGTGGTTTTTTCCCTTATTAAAAGGGTTTTCCACGTAAAAATCTTGATGTCGTTGTTACTCTTTTATTCTTGTTAATTACCGTATCTCGGTGCTACATTATTATTCCGCTTTTATTACCGTGAATATTATTTTGGTAGGGGGTTTTTCCCAACATATAGTGCCGTGAAGGTCAACTGGCAAAAGAATGTTGTATCTGAGGTGCTACCCATAGGATGGAACCTGGCTTGTCGAGTTGTCGTCTTGACTATTTGTATGGGCAGCAGTGCTACAAATTATCAAACTGTTCCCGACAGACGAACATAAGTTAACACAACTAGTTCATGTGAGAAGCAGATGACCCTGAAAGCAACTCTAGAGCTAAATGAAATTCTTTATATTGGAAGAGCTGAATTCCGCATTATAAATGTAATAATCAGCAAATTCCTTCTTTTTTCTTATTCAGGAAGTGACCATCATTAAAAAAGTTAAAGCAGCTCAGTTTTTACCCATTTCAGGCCAATTCATAACGCTGTGTTTGTTCAAAGTATAGCTGGGATCAAACTGATAAAGTACGAGTGTAAAAATAGTCTAACTGATGCAACCACTGAAGGATATACAAGATTTGTATAGCTGGCTCAACTAAATTGGTTCTGAATCCTAGTTGATTGATCTTGCTCAAACTGTTGTAGGTTTAAATTAGCTACTGAACCAAGTCATGTTTTTCAGATTTCACTGACCATATATCTTTCATAGGCATGAAACTTATTCATATTTCAATGACTTCAGAAGTTGATATAAAGAGAATAATTTCATTAACTGTAATTTCGCAACAATAACATGAGAATTAAGTACTAGTATTTATGCCACATATTACACATAATCTAATTATATACACGATCCTCATATTCTTATAATACCGTAGATACTATAACTTGATGCACTAAGCATCAGACCAAGTAATGTCAAAGTCGCCCCAGTCACCTTCAGGAATACCCAATGCTTCCCACACTGCTTTAGAGGCATCAACGATGTTATTCGGGCATGGAGGCTGATAATCGTGTTCATCATCACATCCCATGGTAGAGTCACACTCATCTACAACTTTAGCCTTCACACTTTTGCCATCAGCACTTATGGTGATATAGTTAAGGCACCTATCTCCTCCACTGTACCATCCGGTTGAAAGGGCAACTACTGGAGTATCATCAGAGTGGTATTGGTTATCACATTCCGATGGTCCACCGCCATCTCCACCCTTTTGGAAGCTATTCAGGGTTAAAACAGCCTTGGTATTACCCGTCACAGGAGGCGAACATTTGTAAGTGGTGTACATCTTGCCTTGTTTGCAACAATCTGAGTCATTTTCGGGATTACATTGTCCTGGAGGCGGTTTTATGCCCCTGATTTTTCCACTCGGCTGACAAGACTGTAATCTTGCATCTGAGCAGTAAGTAAGAGTAGCAAAAACCAGCAACACCAGAAGTGATGTTCCCATGCTAGAGTTCTTCATGTTTTTTCTTTCTCTTCTTTTCTTTGGTATTGTATTCAAATGTTAGTTGTTTGAAGACTTGGGATAATCTAACTGGTTTATATAGTGTTTTGGTCACAAAAAATGCCAGTATTCTGCTCAAGGCATGAAAGGTTTCTTATGATTAAGCATATATACATATGTGATTAGAACTGCTTTACTTCCTGTGACAGTCACAGCTTATTTTTTCCTACTAATAGATATCTAAATTGGAGTTTTCAGTCTCAGCAACTTTACCTTCACGGCTTATGCCTAATCATGTTTTTCTATTCTATCAAAGGCATTCTACCAGTACCTAATAAGACAAGAACTTGATGAGTTATTTTATTGTCTTGGATTCTTTAGTTGCTGAAAACACTTCTGTATTTTCTGAACAGTATAGGACAACAGATTGTTTCATCTGGTTGCTAAACATGAAAACCTGTATTCTATAGCATCTGTATGTATAACATACTACAACAACAAGAGTCTTGATTCTGTTACAATCATCTTTTCCCGTGACGTCCATAATGGTAGAGGAGATTAAGACTAATTTAAAAATTGTAATGCTCCATCCGCCTGTTTTTAAAGAATACATAGTACAGTAGAATAGAAAAAGGCCTTCAATTCTTCGACTTTTGATAGTTCATGTGCTGTCAGAAAGACAAATCCTCTTTGCCAGTTGATCTATTGGAGGATTTCCACCTGAATACCTTTGTCACTGCTTTCATAAATGGATCAGTAACTTAGTTGAAACCGTAGGTTGAACAGGCTTAGGGAAATTGAATAAAGCGTTAAGGTTTTAAGGTGCTATTTCTCATATAATCACATAAAGTATTAATACACTGATCGACAACAACAACAACAACGACCCAGTATAATCCTACAAGTGGGGTCTGGGGAGAGTAGTGTGTACGCAGACCTTATCTCTACCCCGATGGGGTAGAGAGGCTGTTTCCGATAGACCCTCGTCTCAAGAAGACGAAAAGACGAAAAGAGACAATATATCAGTACCAGCAACAAAAAACCATGGAAATAATAACATCACAAGAACCAGTGAATAGATGGAAAGCAGAAATAATAACCAGTAAATAAGGCCCGACACTATGAAAATGAAAGAGTAGTGTAAACACAACACTGTCCACTAGAGGTCTAAGACTAAATCCTATCGGTCTAGCCTCACACTGGTAGACTAAGTATGCTCAACTACCTCCTAACCTACAACCTTAATGCTTGACCTCCACAAACTTCCTATCGGATGTCATGTCCTCGAAGATCTGAAGCCTCGCCATATCCCGCCTAATCACCTCTCCCCAATACTTTTTAGGCCGCCCTCTACCTCTCCTTGTACCCACCAACGCCGACCGCTCGCACCTCCTTACCGGGGCATCCAAGCTCCTCTTCTGTACGTGTCCGAACCATCTGAGCCTCGCTTCCCGCATTTTGTCATCAATAGGAGCCACGCCCACCTTCCCCCAAAAATCTTCATTCCTAATCTTATCTATCCTAGTGTGCCCGCACATCCACCCCAACATCCTCATTTCTGCTACTTTCATCTTTTGGGTATAAGAGAAAATCATAATCAATTATTACAAAGATTCAAAGAGAAAATTTTCGTCGTTAATATCATAATCAATTATTACAAAGAACTGTAGCCAAAAACTTCACATACATAGAAGAAATATGTTTTTGTAAATGAAATGGATGGAATTCCAACATGAAAAAATCAAGTTCTAGATTCTATGCATCGGGCGAAACTATAATCAACTTGCTCAATTCATTTTCAGGAACACCAAGCCAGCTTTGAGGCAGCAACCATTTTTATTGGACAGAGTTGAATTCATCCTGAATCATGTATTCCAATTCAAAATTGGAAAGGCCCCTTGCGACAGATTCTGCAACCTGAAAAACCTGCTTGTGACCTTCTCTCAGATCATCACCAAACGGTCCAGACCTGCTCTGCAGCGTCATGAAGGTGTTATCCGTAGGATGGGACTGGCTTGTCGAGTTGTCGTCTTGACTATTTGTATGGGCAGCAGTGCTACAAAATATCAAATTGTTCTCGAAAGACGAACATAAGTTAACACAACTAATGTGAGGAGCAGAGGACCCTGAAAGCAACTCTAGAGCTAAATGAAAATTTTCATTCTGGAAGTTCTGAATTCCACATTATTTTGCCAGGAAGTGAGATCATTATAAAAGTTAAAGCAGCTCAGTTTTTACCCATTTGAGGCCAATTGATAACGCTGTGTATCTACAAAGTATAGCTGGATCAAACTGATGAAGTACGAGCCAGTGTAAAAATAGTCTAACTGATGCAACCATTGAATGATATACAGGATTTGTATAGCTGAGCTCAACCAAATTGGTTTTGAAGCCTAGTTGACTGATTGATTGAATGATTGATCTAGGTCAAACTGTTGTAGGTTAGATTAGCTACTGAACCAGGTGATGTTTTTCAGATTTCACTGACCATGTCTCTTTTATAGGCATGAAACTAATTCATACTTCAATGAGTTCAAAAGTTGATATGAACAGAATTTCATTAACTGTAAAATCAGAACAATAACATGAGAATTAAGTACACATATTACACATAATCTAATTATATACACGATCCTCATATTCTTACAATACCATAGATACTACAACATAATGCACTAAGCATCAGACCAAGTAATGTCATATTCGCCCCAGTCACCTTCAGGAATACCCAGTGCTTCCCACACTGCTTTAGAGGCATCAACGATGTTATTTGGGCATGGAGGCTGATAATCGTGTTCATCATCACATCCCATGGTAGAGTCACACTCATCTACAACTTTAGCCTTCACACTTTTGTCATTAGCACTTATAGTGATATAGTTAAGGCACCTATCTCCTCCGCTGTACCATCCGGTTGAAAGGGCAACAACTGGAGTGTCATCAGAGTGGTATTGGTTATCACATTCCGATGGTCCACCGCCATCTCCACCCTTTTGGAAGCTATTCAGGGTTAACACAGCCTTGGTATTACCCATCACAGGAGGCGAACATTTGTAAGTGGTGTACATCTTGCCTTGTTTGCAACAATCCGAGTCATTTTCGGGATTACATTGTCCTGGAGGTGGCTTTATGCCTCTGATTTTTCCACTTGGCTGACAAGACTGTAATCTTGCATCTGAGCAGTAAGTAAGAGTAGCAAAAACCAGCAACACCAGAAGTGATGTTCCCATGCTAGAGTTCTTCATGGTTTTTCTTTCTCTTCTTTTCTCTGGTATTGTATTCAAATGTTAGTTGTGTGAAGACTTAGGATAATCTAACTGGTTTATATAGTGTTTTGCCCACACAAAATGCCAATATTCTGCTCAAGGCATGAAAGGTTTCTTATGATTAAGTATGCACTTACGGAAATTAGCAGTCAAATGGTCTATTGGAGTTCTTATATATTTTTTTCCAGTTATTAGGCTATAGTAAAATTGGACATATGTGATAATAATTTCTTTACTTTCCTCGACGGCCACAGCTTTTTTCTCTTCTTTTCTCTGGTATTGTATTCAAATGTTAAGACATCTAAATTGGAGTTTTCAGTCTCTGCAACTTTACCTCCACGGCTTAAACCTAATCATGTTTCCTACTGTAGCAAGGCAATATTGTACCACAACATAACAGGACAAGAACTTGAGGGTTATTCTGTTGTCTTAGATTCCTTAGTTGCTGAAAACAATATTGTATTTTTCTGCACAGTAATAGAATAACATGTCGTTTCATCTGGTGACTAAACATGGAAACCGGTATATGCATCTGTTTTTCATTTATGTTCTTATAACCATTAGTATTGATCTTGTCAGGGGCGGAGGTAGAGAACTACTTTCGGGTTCTGACTAACCCAGTAACTTTTGTTTAGACCTTGTATTTGTATTAAAAAATCTATTAAATATGTATAACTATTTAATTGCAAACCTAGTAGCTAAGACGTGCTATGGGTTCGATGATAAGTTCAAAACCCATAAACTTCAAATCGTGGCTCCATCTCTGGATCTTGTTACAAATAATCATATGTTGCTGTGATATCAATTATACTACTACTGAAATCGTGGAGATCACGACGAAGTTAAACATGGTAGTGATGCATCACTCACTGATGTTTCTCAATGCATGCTGACCCATTTAGCTGTTGGAAAAAAAAATATAGTACAGTACAATAGAAAATAAGCCTTCAATTCGTCGAATTTTCTTATCTCTGTGCTGTTTAAGTTAAAAATCCTTTTTTCCAGTTGGAATTGATGGACTTTCATCCTAAATACAGTACTTAATTTCACTGCTTTGGTAAATGGTCAAACACGAATGTTATCTCAAATGATATCAAGATCCAAGGAAAAGATGTTACTATCAACAGGACAGTATGCACTTCATAGAAAATAAACAGTACAAATTTGATATACAAACACTGCAGTTCTCAGCATCTTTGCCTAATCCATCTTACATTACAAGAGCCTTGGCAAAGCTGCAAAATGTGCTGAGAATGCAACTAACTTGTTGCACAACATATACAGACAAATCAAACTTTAGACCATTCTTTGGTTTCCAGGTCTTATTTTTCAGGCCCCGAGCTCTGTTCAACTCCATGGCCGGAAGGCAAAATTTTCCTCAAGGACGATGACTAAAATCAGATTTCAGAAAGTATCACAGAAAACTTTCGACATAACACCAGCAACCTATAGCATACTATCAGTCTTAGCTGGAAGTCGGCGGAAGAAATTTAGGGGTGCTGATGGCAATTTGTGGCGGAACCTGGGATGCCGCATTGCATAAAAGCCAGACAGGACAGCAAACACCTGAAAAGGTGTAGAATACAGCACAATGGCAGCAAGCAGGCAGAATATAATGAATAGTATAGTGGCACGTGGGTCTCGCCAGCTCAGCAGTGCCTGGATTCGCTCCCCTTGGGTGGCCATATCTCCTACTACTGTCTGAATTCGACCGGCCAAACTTCTCAGACGATCATACCTCATCCTAACAAGTTCTGAACTCCGTGACGTAGGAAATGTGTCAAATTCCTCATCAAGCTCATCAGGGTGAGTTGAAACAGCATGTGAAATTCTTGTGTCCATGTGAGGAGGGTACCTCGGCCGGTACTGATAGTTCCAAAGCCCTATTAGGCACATGTACAGAAAAATTGTTGGGAGGATTAATTCTGGAAAACAGACAAGCATAAGGAAGAGAACATGTACTAATGATGTCGTGATAGGATTCTTCCACATGCAAACATCTCCGAACCATTTCCCAACAGAGAATAATCCATTGAAGACGGACATCAGCCTGAAAAAGTTTGCTTTGCTGCGCCTCATGCTCCAGAGGTGCGCATCTGCATCACTCATGTATTCAACCACTTCTTTCCTGAGAGGAGGTTCTGCACGGCTTAGCCGTGCAGCCACAATATTTACAGCTTGATATCGCAGCAGATCTTGCTGTGCTACAGACAATGGTTTCACATAATGCATTTTTGGTAAAAGGGGTCTAGAGTACAGAAACATCATGTTGACAATCGATGCACATGAAAATCGTATAGCAAGATGCAATTCTCCCATCTTCTTCACACCTGACGGGTGAAGGACAAGCAATGGATAAGAGTGCGTGTATACTCGACCAGTTTCAAGTGTTGACATCCGAATACGAACCTTCCCAATTTTCATGTCTCTTTTGCCATTTGAATCTTTTTCTCCAAGCTGTCCATTGTCAAAAACCCCAACTGTGAGAACAGTAGCTGGATCATAGACTTCCCAAGTGTATTGCTCATTAAACTTCGGGTTTAAGCTGTCAATAACTGTCCTGGTCCGCACCCACTTGTGACCATACTTTGCCACACAATATGTGTCTGTTGTACCCTTCCCATCTCTTGTTTTTGATGGGTGTAGTGCATCAATATTCAGGATACCTAATTCTAATATACCAATTGATGGCTTCCAAAGCTGCTTTGCTGTCGGTCGAAGATCACTACTGTAATGAGTTGACTCATCAAGTACATGGTATCCTCCATCTAGTGATACACGAAGATTTATCCTACTGGAAAACTTGTGTTTCCTCTTTGGCTCTTCGATCTCAACTGAACCGGGTTCTTGGAGGTTATACCATCTTGATCGAACAAATCGATCATCTGCACGCCTTTCAACAGTGTTTAATGGGATAATGACCACTCCCAGGGCCTCACCTTTATTGGAAGCAACACGATCCTCAACTGATAGAATCAGATGTTCATCAAATGGTTCAGCAGCAACGAACATCAGATCCTCATTCCACAGAGCATTCATTGTTTGAGTTCTAATTGGTTTTGTCTTCAGCACCTGGTTACCAATATGAGCCTTCACATAGACATCAGGAAAATGGTTTTTCTCTGACACAACTAAGTCCTGTGCTTCAATAACATTGACACGAACATACCACAGCCTAGGAGAATGATACACTTTTCCGCGGATTTGTGAGGAGGGCACTGACATATCTATTGGACTAGCTACATCTGTATGGAAAGCATCAGGGAATGCTTCGTCAGCTTGTGTACCAATCCACACAGCAAGCATCAGTTCCCCC